TTTGGCAGCCACGTGGTTTTTTGTCAACTAATAGCCATCTTTAAAGCAGACCCATTGTGGTTCCTTGAACAGGTTAGGATAGGTTTGTGGGTGAAACTAAACATGCTTATTGATTTATTTTGCACAAAATCAATCTTAGATCATGAGATTTTAGACTGGTCAGTTCTGCCTATTTATAGCTCTTTTCAGAACGAGCTGTTTTAGGGGCTTTGTCACTTTAAATCCAATTAAGGTGCTGATGGCCATGACACAACTCAACATTTACACTTGCATGTGAAAATGACTGCAGACAGATGTGCAATTATATAACCATACATCTTTGAAAAGCAAAAGTGGAGCCTCCTGTACAATCAACAAGATTGCAAGAAGTGGTTTCTTAATAAGTCAACAGCAAGATACGTGTCTTTTCCAGCAGCCATTGTCTTGCAAATACAGCTGTAAAACCAGCTGACCAAACATGTTGGAGCTCCACTCGGGTTGCTAGGTAACGATGCAACAATCAGGAGGTTTTTGAAACACCTTATTTTCCAGACACCAAAAACTATTAACTTTTTGCCTAAAAAAAAGACAACTGAAGGTTTTTAAATGCTTGGGTTGTTCTTAGAGGCAGCTTAGATGAAAATGTTTTAAAATAATTGTGCAAAATGTGAATTTTGTGTAATAGATTCTCTTTAAGCACTTGTTGAGATGAAACTTTCCCACAAAAGCTACAATTTTCTCATTATTCTTTGACCTTATAGACCACACAGACTTGAGTTATTTTACAGCAGAACAACATAGTCTTAACAAGAGAGAGAAGCATCATCTTATCCAGAGATAAAAACGTCCCTAACTCAAAGTGTGGCATCTTCGGAGAAAATGAACTGTGTGTGTGTGTTTGTGTGTGTGTTTGAAGTGGCATTGAATTCGTCCCTTCCAGCTGATGTCAATCCCTTAAACCAGGAGACGGTGTTAGAAAAGAGTCGCCATGGGCAGATCACTGAAAAGCAGAGGCGCCTCTGCAGGGTTACGTTAGACAACTGAAGGCGAGATCGCACCCCGACTCGTTCTTTCTTTAGCTCAAACGGAGGCAGAAAGGTTGACTTTGATTTTTACAGCTGCACAGAATAATGGCTCCTGGAAAATAGAGCAACATGAAACTTTCCTCATTGTGTTTGGCTGTTTAAAAAGGAGCTGGAACGGTTTTACAGAAACTCAACAAAATTACATAGGAGTGTGACTGGGTAATCTCTAATGTTTGTCTTGCAGGATTAGCACAAGATCAAAATGTGGAGAAGGAGGACTCTGGGCAGAAAGGGTTTGTACCAGAAAAAAAACAAATGAGTTTAGCAGAAACTTGCTGAACTTTAATGGAAACTTCTGTTCACCAGTCGACTACGTCCCTGTTCAAACTGATGAGAGCAGAAACAATGATCATTAGACATCATCTAGTCATCTTTACTGATAAATGTAACATTGTTTATATCATTTGTTACAACAAGGTAAAACATCAGCTCAGCTTAATGGAGCTGAAAGTGGTAAAATCACAGTTTTATTTGTGGTGAAGGTGTGTTTTGACAGGCAGGATCATACAGAAAACTGAAATGGATGAACATGCAGAGTTCAGCTGAATACTGAATACACATCCCAGACATACTGTGTGTTTTCTAAATACATGCAAAGAAATTAGCATACATTTGAATGTTTGTGACATTAAAACTGGTTGGTACATAATTCATGCAGTGACATGTGAGGCTCATGGCTGATGAGCTACAGATTTCTGAACCTAATTTAATAATGCTTGATTAATTCTATAATGTACAACAATGATAGCAAATAATATGGTTGTAATTTGATAAAATATGGAAAATATCAGGTGTCATGATTATTGGATCTTTGTGTTTTTATTTATTTGTTGATTTGACACTCTTGGTATTCCATATATGGTCAACTCCTTTGTGTTAATATTGCTAGTGCTGCTGTACTGGAAGCATTTTAATATAATTTCATTCTGATCTGAATTGCAGTCTTTCCACAGCATAATGCGACCACCACCATGCTCTTGCTTCCAAACAGTAGAAAGTTTTTCTGTGGAATTTACAGTTATTTTCATTTTCTAAGATGAATCAATACATTATAATGATGATAAAAAACAAATTAATCAGAAAAAATGTTATTCAGCTGAGAACTTGGAACACAGATGATCTTTAAAGACATGAATTTCAATAATTCTTCAGCTGCTGCAGTTATTTCCCCCTTTTGTTTAATACACTTTTTTATCAACACAAACAACACAATATCCTGTCAAGGTCAGGCACTGGAGTGAAAATCCCTATAAAGCAGGGAAAGGATGAAAACCCATTAGAAAGCCTGTACTGTTGATCAAGCCGTTTGAAAAGGTTACGAGGAAATCTGGAAGGAAAACAGAAAGAAAATGGGGTAATTTTAAACTTTTGTGTAGCAAAAACATTTCAGGATAATCCCACGGTTAAACAAAAGTTTGACTTCAACAATTCTCTATTAAATAAAATTCATGTGTGTAGTTACCTTTTGCATCCTCAGTTGAACTATCAAACATTTTTAAAACATAAATCCATATTTTGTGGGTTTACTTTTGGGTTGGATTTTTACACCTTTTGCGTCTTTTTCTATAAACTCGGGTCATTTCTGGGAGCAGGAAGTCTCATGTGAGGTCCAGTTTTTCTGTTTTTGGTTATTGTGTGTGACAGGAGGTCTTATGTAAAACAAGTTTATTGCTGCAGCCTCCAGGAGGTGGTTTGAGGGTGAGCATCCTAAATGTGGAGTGACAGAAGTAAAAAAGAAGAGGCTTCCTGTCCTTTGGCATCAGTTCCTGACATGTGTGCTGGCAGAGATTAATGTGTTGACTCTGTGTGGGTTAGCCACGAGGCTGGAGAGGAGCTGCTTTATTTAGGATAAAAAAAGGTTAAAGTTTAGTTCAGGCTTTTTCTTGAAGTTTATTGCATATTTATATTTAATGTCTGCATGCCTTGAGTGGGTGAGTCAGTCAAGTTCCTTGACCAATAAAGCAGAGACAGAGGTGTTAAAATTTTATCACTGAATAAAACTTATAAAGACATTGTTTAGATCTTTAATAAGACAGAAGAGCAGTTACTGTTTCAATGAGAACTGAAACTGTGTTCTTAAAAATTTCCTTATACTGAAATTTGGCATTTTATAAAACAATTATCAAAATTAATTTGAAACAGTTTTGAGGATTTTTCACTTGCCAGTCAAAATATCTTAAAAGTTTTCAAAATAGAAAGAAATCTACAAGTCACAAAACAGCTGGTTGCTCACAGAGAGTTGTATGTTGAAGGAAAGTTAAGTGGAAGGAAAAACATTGGTAGAGAAATGCACCTGTCTATCACTCTGTGTGCAATGAATCCATATAATATATATGGTTCACCTTTTAAACTGAATTACTGAGATAATTTGTAGTTTCATGGATATTCTAATTTACTGAGATGTACCAGCACATGAACAAACTTATAATATTCAAACATATGTGGAGGACTACTGGCGTCAAACCATTCAGAGTGGTTGTAAACATAAACAATGGAGTGAATGCAACTTATACAGGAACTACATACACTTTTTAAAGTGTGTGCAACAGATAAAACCTTCAAAAAACAAATTGTGTTTCATTTGCTTTGTTATCGGCATCATTAATCCCCAGTTTATTACCTTTATGTTTAAATTATTTTTTATTACATTTACTTCTGTGATTCTGCATTGTGTCCATTGAGGACGTCTTCTTGTGCATGTATTTAATTTTTGAGAGTAATTTCCTGCCCTACAGATTGCCCTGTATCAGCCTCAAGCTCAGACAATAACTGAAGGTTTCACTCTATTTTTGTTCAACATATTTCTTATCCTGTATTTGTCAGAAAGTCTTTACCTGAAGGAAAATAAAGATTAAAACAACTCTGGACTACAAAGAAAACAATAAAAACGCCAAACATCCTGGAGCAGAATATTTCCTCCATGTTCATTCATATGCTAATCTGTTCTGTAGAAGATGCTCTCAGTTCACTTATCAGTAGTTCTTAAGCTTTTGTTTTTATTTCCAACAAGAATATTCAATCAGAAAACTTAAATATCACTCTTTTACTTCACTCTTCAAGCAACTTTCTTTAAATCTAACAACCATAAGTCTTTCTCCTCAACCTCACCTTTCACCATTTTACTTTCTTTGCCTCTTTTATCCTTCCTGTCTCCTTCCGAACGCCTCCTACTTTTAGTTTGCTTCTCCTGCTCTCCACCCATAACTTCCTGTCTTGCTTCTCCCCGTTGCCCTGAAGACCACCGGGATGAATAATGAATAAAAGAAGCTTCTTTTCTCGGTTCCTCCAGGTAGTCTTGTTTTTGTGTTTGGATGTGTGTGTGTGTGTGTTCTCGTCTGATCTCCCCCCATCACCGAGCCTGTGGACACAGAAAGTTCAGCCTTTGACTTGACACCTGAATAGTAATCAAGAAACAGACATGAGCTTTCCAAATCTACCACTGGTCAGGCTGTCGAAACCTGTGAATGCAGTACGAGAACGAGTCTGTTGCATGACATGGATTTCTGTTCTTGTGCACTTCTGTTTGAAAAGTGAGATTTTAAATCTGATATCCAAGCAATAATTCACTTATGTGACAAAATTCAATTTGACAATATCTACAGGAAATAATGGACTTCACTATCCACACATCCCTGCCATAGCAGGTGTTAAGAAAATAAATTTAAAATATGCTAGTTTTAAAACTTAACATGTCTTGATTGAAATAGCCTAATTATAGTTTTCAGATTAATAACTTATTCTGCCCTATTCACCTTTATGTTACTTGTAGTTACAGCAGATTGTTTGCTAAGACCTTTTGAACTGTCCCTTTGTCTGTGTGGGAAACAATCAGGAGAAGTTCCAGCTTTCACACTGATCTGTGAAAAGCCATAAAACAGCAGGAGTTCAGGCCAGTGGAGGAGAAGCTCTGCTTCCACTTTGTTTAGATAAAGGTGACAACTGGTGTTAGATCTTGAAAACAAATTGCAGGGAGCTTCTAACTTTTAAGAGGGTCCGAGACAGCTCCTGGTTGGTTGAGCAAAGATACGCTTTATTTGAATATGTTAAAGAGAAGAATACGCCTTTTACTATAAAAGTTTGTACACAGGAGTAACGAATCAGAGTTTGCTCTTTGGAATTTCTCCAAA